CCAGTGCCAGTAAATAGCATGAGACAAAGCCTGGAGGTGAGACCTAAAAGACTTTCATCACGATGAACTGATGAACACAGAATGAGAATGTGGCGTGGAGGTGAGCTTGGAGCCTTAATATCCATGTTTATGAGTCACTTAAAGGCAGGAGACACGGGACTTCACAGTTTTCTGTGAAATTGTCCCTAATCCTTGTATCCTACTTCATTCAGTTAGATCTTCTGCTACTTAGAACATTTTCTTCAAGTAGTGAATAGTGTAATGTCAACATCCAAGAAAGTAAAACAAATAGTCACTTCTGCAACAGCTCATTAACAATTGATAATGGAGAGGTTAATGTTCCATAGCTTAAAAAAGTATAGTACAACTGGGGACTCTCTCAGTATCGGATGGGTGCTATATCCATATTACCAATGGCAGTCATCCTAAGAAATTCAAGGAGGCTCATTTACCCTCCTTCAGCGGGTAGATCCACTACACTTTGCCATGTAGATTAGCTGTTTTCACTGGAGACTTGGATCCCACCATCCTTCTGCACACAGTTGAGGTGGATCATACCTCTTGAGTAGGCTTCCCTGTAGGTGCTTGGTAGCTGGCTCGATGGGCCAGATCATAAGCCTTTTGTGTCACAGAAGTAGCCCCCGATCATGATCCACAGCACACAGACTCAGAGCCTACAGAGAAGATGACCCTGGAGATCTGGTTCCCTTTACTGTCCATCTATGATTCATCATACAAAGGTAAGCATATTCCACATTTCCTTTTTGAAATAAGACTGCTGATTTTTAAAAGTGGTAATTACATATGTTGTACTGCAAACTGCAGAAGTTCAAACTTAAGGAAAGACCTTTTACATCCTTCCCTCTTCCTTGTATCTTAAAATTAAAGTCTAACATCAAACAGGGGGATTCATTATTTATTTAATTTGTAAGGTAAGAAACTTATCTGCATGTGTAAGTTTTTGAAAAAGAAGGGAGAAGAAACAAACAACTATTTCCTGTAGACTGTAAGCCTCTTGAGGTCAAAACCTGTCCTTCCATCTATGTTTCTACAAAAGCTACAGTTGGGACAACATCAAGATGCATGCAGTTGGAGGGAATCCATCTGTCTTCAGGCTTCGTACACTTTCCAGAGGACTTTTTGAATGTAAAAGAAAAGCCCCTGAAACTAAGACTAGACTGAAAATATGTCTTTAAGGTTTTTGAGACACACCAAAAAGAAAGCAACAAACAAAAATCACTAATGCTTTTAAAAGAAGAAGTCAAGGTGGGAGAAGGAGCTTACTACGTGAGTTCACATACTTAATCAAGCGAAGGGCTTTGTGTCAGGACGAACATGAGGATGGATAAATAACCCTGGTGTCTGCAGCCTGAGCGAAGATGGGAGAAACAGGACTGTGGGCTTAAGATCAAAGGAAATGAGAACTGGGATGGCCTCTTTCTGGTTCCCCAGGGCTGTCTGTTCTATTCCTAAGGTTATAAAAGATTTTTTGAGACTAGCTGAATAAACCAGATCCTGTTCCTTCCTTGGGAAAACTTGTTTATACTGTAACTGTTTTTAGACCTCGTAAAAGTTGGCGAACTTCTTCCTCATTAGCTTAAATTTTTCCACACTCAGCAAATATCAACAGGCAAGGGTTTTAGTCAGTGATAACAATGAAAGCTGGGAGCTCACCTAGGGCCTTAATAAGCTGGCTGCACTGACAGAGGGAAAGACAGAGACACAATCTCCCGCTCATGTTTATAGAATAACAGGGCTGAAAGGATAGGGAACGATACTGAAATCTAGGTAAATTTATTCTGACAGTGACAACAGCATTGTCTCTGACACAACTCATACCCGGCTTAAGATTCATTTTGGAACTGTCAGAGCTTTCAAGCAGAAAATTATTCTCAGTGGCTGAAACTTGGTTAAACAAATTTCACTGTGCAAGGAAAAACAAAGTTAACTTTGGAAGTGTTTTGGGGGAAGAACTTGGTCAAGAAACTAGAAAATGACTATGTCAGCTAGATAGGAAGTGCCATCCCCATGCCGGGGTCTCAGGAAAACACATGAGGTTCAGCAGCAGGCAGGATGGGAGGGGGTGACCTAGACCCCACGCTGGAGAATTGGCTCTGCATTTCTGAAACAGGATGAAGAATCAGAGCCAGCAGTGGTGCCAACTGAAAAATGCTGGGTAGTTTGGACCAGTGACCAAGCTGGGGCAACCTGAGCAACAAAATAAATAATGACAATACTGGATATCCATATAATAAAATAAACATCCAAAATCCCCTGCTGATATAAATACATAATTAGTAAACAAAGAACAGGGGAATGGTGACAGAAGAGGCAGATCTTTCTTAAAGTAGAATGCCATATTAATAAATGTAGAAGAAACAAGAAAAATAGAAAATCTTCCTTAAGCAAGCATTATAGTAATAATTATTATAGGCACGAATTAGTCACAGATCGTCAAATTAGTGGGTAAAATTATGAAGAAGAAAGTTCTAAATAGGTATTTAGTACTTGCTAAATTTTGGCTAAAATTTTAAATTTGCTAAATTTGGCTTAAGTTTGCTAAACAGGTATATAGTATCTTTAGAAACAGGTCAAAGGGATGTATTACTTACAAATGGACAAATAGTATTTTTTACAGAGGAGAAACCAGCAGGTCCAAGAGACCAAATGTAACATTAGTCATCAGACACATGGACCAAGAGACCAAATGTAACATTAGTCATCAGACACATGGGCATCTTACTCCCCCTGATATGACACAATGAAGACAGGCACACTATCGTTTCTGTGGTAATTTTGCCCAAAATATGTACTCTCAACAAATCATGAGAAACCATCAGTGAAACCCAAAGTGAGAGACAGTCTAAATAACTGTTTGAAACTTTTTCACAAGTGTCAAGGTCATAAAAGACAAAAATAGACTGAGAACTGTCACAAGGTCAAGGAGACTAAGGAGGCGTGCACATGAGATCAATGCGGGATCCCAGACTGGACCCTGTTTCAGAACAGAACATTACTGGGGACTTGGAAGTACAGATAGGTATATGATTAATTAAGAACACTGAACCCAGGCTAATTTGCTGTTTTTGACAGCCATACTATGGTTTAGGTTAGATATTAACAAACAGGCAAAAGTTGAGTGAAGAGTATATAGAAACTCCACTAGTTTTGCAACTATTTTGTAAGTCTAAATTATTACAAAAACAAAAGTTAAAAATGGAATGGAGGCCGGGCACGGTGGCTCACGCCTGTAATCTCAGCACTTTGGGAGGTCAAGGCAGGCAGATCATGAGGTCAAAAGTTCGATGCCAGCCTGATCAACATGGTGAAACCCTATCTCTACTAAAAATACAAAAATTAGCTGGGTGTGGTGGTGCGTGTCTATAATCTCAGCTACTCAGGAGGCTGAGCCAGGAGAATCACTTGAACCCAGGAGGCGGAGGTTGCAGTGAGCCAAGACTGAGCCACTGCCATTCCAGCCTGGGTGACAGAATGAGACTCTGTCTTTAAAAAAAAAAAAAAAAAAAAAAAAGGATGGAGTTAGTTTGGCTTCATTTGGCAGCCAACCAGGATGAACTTGGGTGCACAGATTTCTCAGGTGAGACCTAAGACTCTTTCTCACCTGAGAAATAAAGAAGGACATGAATAGAAACACACAGTGGACAGGAGACAGCAAAAGGCAGTTCTAGTTCAATGAAGCTTGTGCTGGCTGCTTTCATTGGACAAGCATGCCAGAATTCTGTTGCTTTATGTGTCATTCATCTGCCCTCCACGGTACTGAGAAGAGTCAGGAAAGGGGATAGTAATGTACACCTTAACTGTTCTTGTCTCTTGACACTAGGGGACAACACTTCCTAGAATAGCCTCACCCTGGCACCCCAGATGTTTGTTGCTCATCCTATCTACAGGTTCACGGTCAATAGTAGTAACAGCCTCTAAAGTGAAAAGGACTCAGCATACAACCTGCAAAGAAGACATAGCAGAGGGCATCTGGGAGGCTATGACAGTGTGTTCAGGGAAAAATGATCCTAACAGAAAAACAAACAGTAGGTGGCTGAACTTGGGGAGAAAAGAGCAAGCCAGCTGGACACCTTGGGCTTTTCAGGAGAAAAGTAGGCCTCCCAATCAGTCTTGCAGGCTTAAGCAGCGAAAGGACAGCTTTCCTCAATAACCTCTTCACTAGAATTTTCAAAACCTAAACAAATATCTCAACAATGATTTTCTTTTTTTGCCCAATAAAAGATGTCATGTCATAAAACTAAATTTTGAATCAAATCCTTTTCCCAGACATAATTCTGAAAAACCTTAAAACACAAAGTAAAAGAAATCAGATGCTTATCTGAATATCATCCTATGATCATTAGAGGTAATTCTTACACATTTATTAGTATTCATCTCTTGCCAGATATTTAAATAATTGTGAAGAGATGTGTCAAGAGAAGAGTAATTATACAAAGCTTTATAAAAGGAGATACAAAGCTTTATGCTCTAAATGTGGCTTTCGGTTTAAAAACCTAGGCTGCTTAGCACAACCCCAAATAGTTCTGGGATGGTTGCATAATATCAGATCTCAAGTAGCTCTAATAACTGCTTTGTAACCCCTGGAATAATGAAGCAACACAGGATCTTTTTTTTTTTTTTTTTTTTTTTTGAGATGGAATCTTGCTCTGTCGCCCAGGCTGGAGTGCAGTGGCCGGATCTCCACTCACTGCAAGCTCCGCCTCCCGGGTTCACGCCATTCTCCTGCCTCAGCCTCCCGAGTAGCTGGGACTACAGGCGCCCGCCACCGCGCCCGGCTAATTTTTTTTTTTTTTATTTTTAGTAGAGACAGGGTTTCACAGCGTTAGCCAGGATGGTCTCGATCTCCTGACCTCGTGATCCGCCTGTCTCGGCCTCCCAAAGTGCTGGGATTACAGGCGTGAGCCACCGTGCCCGGCCAACACATGATCTTATTTTGAAGACAAGTTTACCACTACACAGTGATGCTGGTCCATACCTACCTCCCACCGCATTACAGCGCGATGTCATTTCCCAGAGCACCAGAGCCATGGAGTAGACATCGGTCTGCTTAAAGACTCTACATTCTCCAAATTCATCCTGGATTCTAGGACTTCTGGAGCCATGTATCTTGCAGTTCCCACCTATAGCAAAACAGACAGTGAGGCCCATCATTTAATTCCAGCTGCATTTTTATTTCACAATATAGCTGATAGTGGCTCCTGACATGTGCAAAGGATTTTTTTACAAAAATCACAGGGCTGTTTTTAAAGAATGAGAAATGCACAGAAAGGTACAGGTAGATGGTTATTTTTTAAGAGATGTTCTCTCCCTGAAAACGCTCTAAAGACTATAAACAAAGCATGCCAAAATAGGCAAGTGCCAAACCCCAGAGCTGCCTTATCTAACCCCATGACTTGTGTCATCACATTTTCAGTAACATCCTTACAGATAACCTGAGAGACAACATTTGTGATATTTTAAATGTTTATTTTTGCTTTTCAAAATTAAGTTTTATTTTTTTATTCCTGAAGCTCCACGACTTATGGTAAAAATAATAACTGCTATCAGTTTTGATCACTTCAGGACTGAGTCTTAATCTTTATTTATCCCATGGCACATTCCAGTGTGCAAAGGATATAGTACCATTGCATATCATCTCTACTAAATTAAATTGTATAAAAGCATTTTCACAGTAAAAGACCAAATCTGGATCACTTTATAATTTTCACGTGTGGGCCATGTAGTTTTATTTTGACTTTTAGGCCTGTGCTAATCTCTATGACTGATAATATGCAAACGTGGGATCCATATGAAAAAGGAAAAAAATATTCCAGGGAATGGATCACTTAATATTTAGTCTTGTAGTATGTATAGACTGACTAAATAACAATAAAGTCCTGCCTTCCCAAGGATCTAGGGAAGCCGAGTGAGTTGATATTATCATTCCAAGGAATGTTTCTCATTGGCATGTATTAGAAACAGTTTTTCTTCTCAAGAGGTCATTGCATGGCTCATTACTCTGGCACATTAGGCTGCCCATGTTTCGATGTTTACCTCAACACTGTGTGTGCTGCCATGGACACAGGGCTGACTGAGCAGCAACCATATGCTTCAGAGTGTGTCCTGCCACCTGGCTAAAGAAGACAGTGCTGCTCTCCACAGACTCCACTGTATGAAAACACTGGGCTTGTCATTTATAAGATGTTGTGGTGATTTCTAATCACCTTCCGATAGTTTCTTAGCCAAAAACATTTCCATTTTAATCTGTGAGAGTGCTTCAAGAGCGGAAGCGCTCACTCAGTTGACAAGTACTTATTTTACTTTCAATGTTCGAGGCATTGTGCTAGGTATCTTGGGTGACCATGTGGATGTAGATTTGGACTTCAGGGAGATCCATGACATTATTAATAGGCCTTCCACGACCCTATTAATACAAAGAATCATACAAAGAAACCAACACAACTACAGCTAATATAGAGTAGAAAGGACTGAGTACAACCATAAGAGAGGGAAAAAATAGAGGTAAAGTACTGACAGTGCTTGAAAAAAGGAAAAAGCATTTGCTGGAAGAGAAATGAGAATTGATCCAGGAGGAAAAAATGTGCTGAATTGGGAGGGATTTGAAGACAGGAGGAGAAATGCTGTCCATTAGCAAAAATGCTCAGGCAGGAGAGAGCAGAGCATGCTCAAGGCAGACTCGGTACTTTGGCTAGATTCTCTAAACCAGCGTCCAGAGTATAGGGCTGTTTGAGATAAGAGCCAGGAGATACGGATCAAGAGGTAGGGTGAGGCCAGGCTCAAGGTAAAGGGAATCTAGCACTATCTCTAACTTACCTGCCCGCTGTTAGCCAGGTCATCCACAGACAGAGTAGGGTCCAGACGCAGGGAAAGCCCAAAGTCACACAGGCAGCAGGTCAGGTCGTTCTTCACGAGGATATTGGAGCTCTTGAGGTCCCTGTGCACGATGGGCATCTTGGGCCTCCCGCACGGAGTGTGATCACTGTGGAGGTGGGCAATGCCCCGGGCGAGGGAGCTGCCCAGTTTGCGCAGGTCCTCCCAGCTGATGACATGCCGCGTCAGGTACTCCTGTAGGTTGCCCTTGGCATGGAAGGCAGTGATCAGCCAGTACTGCTTCCCCAACTCCGTCTTGCGCTCCTCAGCTGTCAGGAACTGGAGTATGTTCTCATGCTTCAGGTTGATGTCTGAGAAGATGTCCTTCTCCGTCTTCCAAGAGGCATACTCCTCATAGGGAAAGATCTTGACTGCCACTGTCTCAAACTGCTCTGAAGTGTTCTGCTTCAGCTTGGCCTTATAGACCTCAGCAAAGCGACCTTTCCCCACCAGGGTGTCCAGTTCAATGGGCAGCAGCTCTGTGTTGTGGTTGATGTTGTTGGCGCATGTGGAGCTGATGTCGGAGCGGTCGTCTTCCAGGATGATGGCACAGTGCTCGCTGAAGTCCATGAGCTTCCGTGGCTTGCCAGCTTCCCAGGATGAGCTCAGCTTCTGCTGCCGGTTAACGCGGTAGCAGTAGAAGATGATGATGACAGATATGGCAACTCCCAGTGGTGGCAGGAGGCTGATGCCTGTCACTTGAAATATGACTAGCAACAAGTCAGGATTGCTGGTGTTGTATTCTGATGGGGAAACAAAACAAGGAGAGAAGGAGTTGGATGTGGTAGGTATGTACTGTCAGGAAGCGGGTTCATGCCCGAGCATCTATAGATTTTAGCGTCTGTATAGTTTTTGTAGATACTACATTGTTAATTTTTATTTCAGGGATGCCAGTGCACACTTGTTCAGTCTTCCCTGCCTCTGGCCATCTATTTGACATCTCCTACTCTTCCTTCAAATTTCAGCTTAAATGTCACTCCTTAAGAGAGACCTAGAAAAACTTGGAAAATTGTCTTATTTTATACATTTTCATTGCATCTTATACCTTTCCTAGGTAACAATTCAGTGCAACTTAAATTAAATGACCTATGACTCCACCTCTTGATTTCACGTCTGTCTTTCCCCACTTTCCCCATCCCCCACAGACAGGGAACTCCATGCTGGCAGGGACCATGTCTTCTTCACTACAGTAAACTGCACGTAGCACACGGCAGATCCTCAATACTGCCAAATAAAAAGACAAAGCATTTATTGAGTGTTATCGAAGCTCAGAACATTGGGAACGTGGAAAAAAATGACACAGCTTCTGCCTTCAAAAAATTTGCATGTATGATATCTGGTAAAAACACAGAGCATGCCACGGTTTCCACCAAAATCTTTGCTCTTTTTCAAGCTCCAACCTGTTCTGCCCTGATCAGCATTCAGGCTACCCTAGGCCTATGGGTGACAGGGAGAGGAGTCCGTGGAAAGGATCTCTTTGGACAGGTATCTTACACCACCCACCATTTCTCTTTTCAGTGTGCATGTAAATTGTAGTTTCATGGAACTGAAATATTTAATAGCAACGATGGAAACATTGCCACAAAGGTAAGATCAGTTAACAATGGAAACGTTGCAGTTTTATGACTTGGAATTCCGGAGCAGGCCCCTGTGAGCTGATGAATAGAGTCCTTAGCACCAGATATCTAACTATAATATCTTGTGCTTCAAACTTTGGTTCATATGCTGGCCTTGTTGGCTCTGGTGAAACAGTTTTCCTCTTTGGAAGAAGGACATGAATAGAAACAGACAGTGGACAGGAGACAGCAAAAGGCAGCTCTAGTTCAATGGGAGCTTGTGCTGGGCTGTTTTCATTGGGCAAACATGCCAGAATTCTACTGCTTTATGTGTCATCTATCCGCCCTCCAAAGTACCCATTAATCATGCTCAGATCCTAGAATCATTCGTTAAATATATCACTACTGAGTGTCTACGTTGGGCATGGCACTGCCCTCAGAGTACCCAATAGAGGACTTAGGGCATATATACAAATAAGGAATATATGGCATCTGGGATAGGGGCTAAATGTACAATGCAATCTATATGTTAGTGGAATGTGGAAGAGTTTAGAGAAACATGGAAGGCACAGTAGCAAAAAAATTGCCTTTAAGTTGGTCTCTGAAGAATGGGAAAAGTCAGTGATGAGTGGAAAGAGTGCTCTGTTCAGGAGAAAGAATATATGATCTATCTAAGGAAGAGCAATTCTCCCATACTGACCACCCTGCACCTGGGGAATAGAAAGGAAAAAACGGGTAGGTGGTAGGGAAACAAACTCCATGTCAGAGAAGGATCTTTTGATTATTCAATTGTCCGTTTTCACCTACAGTAGGTGTTTGAAGAGAAAAAAAAAAGAAGTGATGAGAATATAGTCCAGGTGGAATGAGTATATAACCAAATTCTCTCGAGGGGAACCTATTACCTAAATGGTATTGATAAAGGAGTTAAGAAGAAATTACTTGGGGAGATAGTAAGGGTATGGGAGTCCAAGGTAAGGCTTTTCGTTTTAATGAAAAGCAGCCCCAAATCATTTGCTAACAAACAGCGGCCTGTAAAGTCGAGCTTCAGACACAGGCAAGCTGGGAGCTTGCACGGGTGAATGCCGGCAGGAAGTAACGACATGTTCAAGACGGTGGCTCCATCTTCCCTTCTCTGTCAGCCATGTGTACAGTAAAGAGCAGACAAGATGGTGCTGATCAACTGGAAAGTCCATTTGCATAAGATTAGGGTGGGGTGACCAGTCCTCCCCATGCACTATGTAAACGTCATACCTGAATGAACCAATCTGTGAGCCCTATGTAAATCAGACACCGCCTCCTCAAACCGGACTATAAAATCCAGCACATTCACCGCCAGCTCGTCGTTTCTGCTTGGAGACTCCTTTCTCTATAGAGAGTTGTTTCTCCTTCTCTTCTCTTCTGCTTATTAAACTCCTCTCCTAAACTCGTGTGTGTTCATGTCCTAAATTTTCCTGGCTCACGATGATGAACGCCAGGTTATATACAGCATCTGATACTTTCGTGTTTTTTTTTTTTTTTCCTGAAGATGGAGTCTTGCTCTGTCACCCAGGCTGGAGTGCAATGGTGCGATCTCTGCTCACTGCAACCTCACCTCCTGCCTTAGCCTCCCAAGTAGCTGGGATTACAGACGTGCACCATTACGCCCAGCTTATTTTTTATTTTTTATTTTTTTTGTATTTTTAGTAGAGACGGGGTTTCACCATGTTGGCCAGGCTGGTCTCGAACTCCTGACCTCATGATCTGCCCGCCTTGGCCTCCCAAAGTGCTGGGATTACAGGCGTGAGCCACTGCACCTGGCCCAGAATCTGATACTTTCATTTAACAAAACACAGTGAGAAATGAAGCTAGTATATATCAATTTTTAAGGTTTAATATGATTATTTGTTCTTAAGGTAAGTCTAAGTAGAAATGCCAACTTCCACTGACTGTATATTCTAAATGAAAATCTTGGGTCTAGTAACCAGAGAAGTAACCCCAATATATCAGAATTCCAGAAACCAAGAGAAAAAAAATTAACATTTTTTGGAAAGATACATGAATGCATTTAAAAAATATAGGGAAAGTGATAAAATTTGGTGACTGACCCTTAAAAACATAAATTCTTACTCACACTGGGAGGCTTGGGTTGGGATAAAGAACAGGCAAGAGTAGGGCAGAAATGGGGTGGGACAAAGCAATTCCAGAACGATTCAAATGCAAAAGAAAAAAAGATGCTCTTGTGGAGATGTATGGACTGTCCCTGTTGTCCAGCAAAGTATAAACCTGGAGAACAAAATTAAGGGGGCAGACGAACTAATGTTCAACCACAACAGCCGATCCAGCAGTCGGCATTTCCACTTAGACTTACCACTTCCACAATGTTCCCTCCCTGAAACTCCACCTCTATTATCTGTGGTATCCAATGAATGTGTTTGCTTGAAGTACCCACTTGTCTCCATTCTCTGTGTCTGTAACTACATGGAATGTCTTATAATCATAAATCCACTTGATTATCTGATTGCTTCTCCCTGACAAAGCAGGGTAGTGGCCAGATCTATTTGGTCACCATGCTATACCCAGTACCCGGGGCAGAATGGGGCAATTTATGGTATTCAACAAACGTGTTTTAGAAACTGAATGATAACTTATGTGGAATGATATTTCTCAAATTTCTAATATTTTATAGCAAGGTTTGACAAACTATGGCTCAAGAGCCCATGGCCTGCTTTTGTATAGTCCTATGACCTAAGAATGATTTTCCCCGCATTTTTAAACAGTTGTTTAAAAAACAATAAAACTAAGAAGTTCGTGCAACAGAGATCTTATCTGGCCCAGAAAGCCTAAAATATTTACTGTCTGGCCCTTCACAGAAAAACTTTGCTGACCCCTGTTCTAGAGGTGTCACTTTAATAACCTCATTGGCAGAATCTCGAGAGACTTCACTTTGGCCAAATGTGAATATGTAGTCAATTTTTTTTCACATATGAGAAAATGAAATTTGGAAAAATTTAAATATTAACTGCATCATTACTTAGCTGTGTCCTTAATTCACTAAAATGTCCAAATGGAATGTTGATTCATCATGGCTACCTTTAATTTATAATTCCTAACTATCTATAAAAACAGTCTTCTTTGCTCATTTCAATTCCTTTTTAGCCTAAAGGAAACACAAAAACAGAAATCCCCTTAAGTGTATGTGCAGCACTGACTGAGGAAGATTCTAGAAATCCCCAGTTCAATGTCAGAAACCAAAGTTTTACTTTCTCCTAAAATTTCCTGTTATTTCTTTAGAAAACTTACACTTAAAAAACTTTTGGCGGGAGGAGGAATTCTCGAATAACATCTGTCAATCTTGAAACTTCAAAGAGGTGGTGAAAAACTCTAACAATAGCAACCAAGGTTGGAAGGAAGCTTTGGGATGTGGCTTTATCTAAACAGAAGCCACCCACACCCTCTGGCAGTATTAACCCTTGGGTTGCTACTAGAAAACCCAACAGCTCTAGGTGTAGGTACAAGCCAGCATCTCCTTTACTCGGAGACCAACAGGAAATGTTTCTTTTCATCAGCCTCCAGTTACAGAGAAACTCGTATCTGAACACTTACTAAGTTCCTGGCTGTGTGCTAAGGATTTTATAAAACATTTAAATTTAATTGCCAGAAAAACCCTATGAGATAGAAACTGCTATTATTATAAACCCCATTTTACAGATAGGGAAGCTAAAGGTCAGACAGTTTAAGTAATTTTCCAAGATGATAAATTTAGGCCACAGCAAAGCTGGTATTTAAAATGAGCACTGCCTGACTGGAGAGACTTCTGATCTCAACCCCATGCCTGATCTCTTAACTTCATATTGGTGAGAGCCAACTAAGAATGACAATGACTTTAGGCTGGGTGTGGTGGCTCACGCCTGAAATCCTAGCACTTTGGCGGGAGGATCACTTGAGCCCAGGAGTTCGAGACCAGCCTGGGCAACATCGTGAGACTGTCTCTACACAAACTGGAAAAAAAAAAAAAAAAAAAATTAGCCAGGCACTGTGGTGCTTCCTGTAGTCCCAGCTACTAGGGCAGCTGAGGCAGGAGGATTACTTTACTTGAGGCAGGTGTTCAAGGCTGCAGCACACTAGGATCCTACCACTGCATTCCAGCCTGGGTAACAGAGCAAGACCCTGTGTGTGTGCGGGCGGGGGTGGGGGGTCCCAATTTGATGAAGTGTTTTTCTTTAGTGTAGCCTGGACTAAGTGATTTTACAGCCATCCACC